TGTGTGAAATAATTACCTACAATCGCGAGCTGCCCCAGGGGTAGATCGCAGTCGGGCCTAGCGCACTCTATACGATTGAATGTTAAAGTTTTTTTAACGCTGTTTACGTAAATAATTTTTTGTAAATGTTTAGTATATTTAATTGTAGGATAAGTATAGAATAGTTGAAAAAGTTTTAATGTAATTTAAGAATAATATTATATATGTATATTACCTATCTATTTGATAAATTATTATGGCAAAACGTCGTTCCTACTATAATTGTTGCGAGGATGGATGCTTCATCATTTTTTGAGTTACCAAAGGATAATGAAAGGTAATATTTTTTTTTTGTTAGATAGGTAGGTACTTATAGCGAAAAAATTATTAATAATAATTTAACTACAGAAGTAATACCTAAGAACTTTATTACAAAACTTAGTTGAAATTTACTTCACTACCCAAGTACCTACTTACATACCTATACTTTTTTATAGGATAGAAAATAATTGTGTTATATTAGCATATAATTAATATAATTAATATTATTTTTCTAAAAGCTTTTATATTAGCATAATTTTTTCATAGGATAAGGGTGACAAACGAGCACACAGTCCACCTGATGGTAAGTGGTTGCTGTGGCCCATAGACTACGTATCTACATCTATCCTCGTTTGGGAATCAAAATGCAGATGCGTTGTCACCCGTGAGTACTAAGACGAAATGCCTCTTTTCCAGTAAAATGGGTCTCCGGTTCTCTACACTCACCATACGAAACACATCTGCGTTAAGCTGCTATTTTACGCTGGTTTTCTGTAAGAGCGTGGTCCTTCCCCGGTCGAGCCGACCCATTCGTGCTACAAATATACTACTAATATTGCTGCAGCATGGCTCTACCACGTGTAAAAAAAATAGATAAATTATTCTTTAAATCGAAATATTTTTGTTTAATGTTACTTAATGTTAAAATAATGAACAATGCTTTAACTTGGCTTTTTTTTACAAATAAATTGAAAAGAGCCCTTTTTATTAGTAACGACTGATTTAGTAAAAAGCACAAAACTAAAACAATATATTTTATGAAAGATCTGCAGTGTTATCGATATTTGCAACACATCCCTAATCGATATCCAGTTGGTAATGCAAACGTTTGTACTCAGCTGGCCCGGGATCCGCTCGAGGCAAACACCCGGGGTAAATAAACCCCCTTCGCAAACTATGTACCTACGTACATGACGTAGACTCACCACGTACGGTTTGTAAGAGCCACTCGTGCACGTCATGGATTAAACTAAACGAAACGAGATCTCTCTAAGTAGATTTATTTTAAATTTATTTTTATTTTCGAAATGCTGTCATGCAAATCCAGCAGACTCAATTTGTGACAGAGTTTTTATATTTGTGTTTTTCATATTCAGTAGTTACTTTTTAAATGTTGTCAAATAATAGAAATGGTGTTTTTATTTTTTTATTCATATATTATGATTCGTCGAAAGGTTCTGGAGCGGCAGCCGTGTACTGGAAAACACAGTGTTCGGCAAACCACAACTAGATGGAGTAACGACCTGGTAAAACACGAAAGTAATATATAGGTGCAGGTTGCTCAGGATCGTACTTTGTTGCAATCTATGGGAGGCTTTTGTTCAGCAATGGACTTGTGATTCGCAGAAGTAGACGTAGTAGCAGTAGTAATATCTCTATCTCTATATATAAAAAACAATTGCTGTCCGTTATTCTCGCAAAAACTCGAAAATTGGATAACCGATTTTGATGTAATTTTTTGTGTGTATTTGAGTGGATCCCTGGATCGTTTATATTCACAACTGGACTCGGTAGGTGGCGCTGTAGTCGAGATTCAGATGTTGAGAGAAATCACCCGTGCGAAGCCGGGGCGGACGGCTAGTATGAAATATACATTAGCAATCAATATCTTATTTTCATTGACTGTAGTGATTATTGTCTTGTGGTGACTATATGTTAATTGTATTGTAAAATGATTCACTTTTATCAATAAACAAGGCAACAGTATAAACCGGAATCCTAGTTACGTCACGTGAAACGCAACATTCTCATTTCACTCAAGTACGTATTCCAATATATCTACGTTTGCACATATTGTGGTAAAATACACAGTAACAAGAGATTTTGGTATATAGATACATAGCTGAGACATAAGCGTAAGATCACAAGGTTCAATTTGATATGTCGCGTACAAAGCCTTCGGTGGACGAAATGCGAAACGCCTCGGCTGTTTGTTTGTGGGTGGATGGTTCCAGTGAAATTTCTCCTTTGTTGCTCTACTCCGCCCGCTTATGTGACGTTGTGGCGCAATCAGTGAAGCGAAAGCGATTTTAACAGAGTACGACGTTCGTAGAACTTCTAAATTTGTGTAGAGATAAGATTACTATTTTTACATACCGTGATTTTTACCTTCCTACGAACGTACTAACATGTCTTTAAATTGTAAAATAAATTAAAGTTACAGGTTATATACTATTGAGCACAGGCCTAATTTCCGAGAGGGTTTTATTAGGGCAAGGAAATGTCATCTGCTGATAGATTTTACTTCTTCGAAATACACATGCAGGTTTCTTAACGATGTTTTCCTTCGCTGATTTTTAGTACTTCATTTAGTGAAGTACTAAAAATTGCAAATAGCAATTTCACTGGTGCCTATTTGTTTCTACTATCTCTACACCAGAAGAGTAACACATCTACTGAAAGCGCAATCCTGAGCCTAAAGCACACTGTCCAATACTACACAGATCGCAAGACGCCGGTGTACGCCTGTTTCCTTAACCTTTCCAAGGCCTTTGACCTTGTGTCCTATGAGGTACTTTGGAGAAAGTTGGCGGGAAGGGGTCTACCAAAAGATCGCTTGAAGCCATGCGCATCCAATATAATAATATATTCTGGATGCTGTTGGGACTGCCCCGTTTTCGTAGTGCATCAGGGATGTTTGCGGCATACCAAACAAATGGGTTTAATGCCATTATACGCAAAAAACCGCATCTCTTATTAGCAGGGTAAGAGTCACAACAGCATTCTGAGGACCGTAGCGGACAGGTATACATCGCCGGTGCAGAGACTGATCACTGGGCCCTATCTACCCCCATGATGGTCTGTCACGGCACAGGGTATTACATTTTTCCCTCGACTTAAGCAAACCATGTTTTACTAATCCTTGTTGTTATTATTATTATTAATGTACTACTAACCCACATATGGATTTTTAAATTATCTGAAATAAACAATTTTTATTTTTATTTATAACGGATTTTGATGTAGGTATACTACTAGGTGCTATAAGGCTCAATTTACATTACGGCGGAATCTTGGCTCATTTATACAATTAACATAAAATTAATTTTTCTATGAATAATTTTGTTACAAAAATTCGCATCTATTCTGTTCCGCGGCAATGTAAATTGAGCCTAATTACTAGGTGTGTTTAAATTTCTCTATATCCCCGCAGTTTTATAGGGCTAAATATATATTCTTTTCTGTATTGCTCGCAAAAATTTATAATATGACACTGGTTTCTAGCGTATTTTACTTCACTCTAGTTCTTTTTTTTTCATAATATTTAATTGTTTTTAACCTGTTTTGATTTTACTAAGGTAAATGCTCGTAACTTAGCCCATACACCGACTTAGAATTTGGTGGGCATTATGTAGAAGCTTTGTTTCTCTTACATTATGTATTCCGTCGTGGACTTCTCTATATATGGCTTTATATACCGCCCCACGTCAAGACGGGCTTACATTAGTGATTTATAACTCCGCTAACGTAATATGTTACAATGTGTCGTAGGAACCAGTAATGTAGTGTTATAAAAATACGATACTAAAGTTACTTTGTAACTACAAAGAAAAACCGCTATTGAAATCTATGACTACAAGGAAAATTAATTTTATGCTTCAGAATATTAAGAGCAAATGAAATTTGTTGTAAATAATAATGTAAATAGCGACGTCTTTTGGGTGTATTAGAGTCGACTATATAAAGATCCACGAAAATGTAATGCCGCATCAAAAGTGCTAGACGTTTGTAATTACCATCGCTAATCAGCCAACCGGGCAGGCTGTTGATGCGTCTGCATTTTGATTCTTCATCAAGGGTAAATGTAGAAATTGGTGTCCACGGGCCACAGTGTCCACTTGCCGCTAATTGAACTGTATAAACTAGGCTTAAACATTAATCAACTACCTTAAAGTCGCATTTGACAAAAATTATTAGTAAATAAAATTTATACATACTGCCTGTCGTCGCTAGTTAGCAGTTTAATCATTTGATATGACAGACCAGTTTAGTCACTTTTTAGTTTCCATGTATCTATCTATCTATCTATCTATTTATGTAACGGAATATTTTAATGTAATTTTCACCGACTTAAAAATTTGCACTCGTATGTATCACCGATGACAATATAATAATTTAATAACTATATTCTAGTGTCCTGATCAGGATCACAAGGATAAAGTAAAATAGTTATCAGGATGATCACAGTTCAGTTCATGATCAATGCGTGTTGTTTAAGTTTTTTTTTTTAACTCTTATATTTAAGAACACACATATTTAAAGACGTTGGTTTATAATTCGTAAATCTATTATTGAATATTTACAATTAGAAATATCCTTTTCTTTAGTACCGCAGCGCTTTATTTGTGACAAACAGGCAGCGAGAGCCGAAATTTTGAGCAGATACTCGTAGTTTTGATCATTCCCCTGACAGCCAGTTAACATTTTAATAATTTATCCTTAAACATCGCGCTGGAACGATAAATTCGTAGTTTAGTCCAATTAGTAATAATAGATTGATCCCCCCTAGATGCATCGTCAACCTGGTAGCAGATGCAGGTAGTCGATGGTTGACTCAGGACCGTGCTTTGTGCCATTCCTTGGGAGAGTCCTATATTCAGTAGTGACTTTTGAAGGGCTGTAATTAGGGTTGCCACCTTTTTTTTTGCAATTAAAGTACATTGGTTATTAAAGGTAGGAAAAAAAAAGTACATAGATTCAAAATAAAGTACAATTTATTTTTCTTTATTATTATATTTAAAAACATATTTTTTATTGCTTTTTGCAGTTTGTATCAAATTACTATCTTCACTAAAAAATTGCACAGCATTTTTACAATCTAAATTTAAATTAAAGTAAATAAGTAATTCATTTTTTATCAAATTTAGAGACGCTTTGTTTCTTTCGTCTCGCCATTTGCTGTTCATCACAGAAAAAACTCTTTCTGTGAATGCTGACGTGGCGGGAATAGACAATAAAAATGAAATTACTTTATACAAGTTTAAAAAATTATCATCACTCTTAAATACTTGCTGCCATTTTTGTGCAGTAGATAGTTCTGCAAAACTCTTAGAAGTACTTATCTGATTATAAACTTGGTTTAGTAAAGCAATTTCTCCATATAGATCATCCATATCTACATTAAGTTTTTGAAGATTTAAATTTTCAATTATGTTAACAATATTATTAAATTCAATTTTGCTCTTTAAATTTATATATCCAAGTGTAAATAACCAGTTTGTGTTATTGAAATCAAACCATTTATTCAGATACTCTAAGGCTTTGTCAACACAATAATAAAAAATTCGTGTGAATTTTTCTAGTCAGTTCCGGTGAAGTCAGTTTAATTTTTTTGCCTGTTTCATAGCCAAAGAAAAGATCTTGTTTTCTTTGTGTTAATCCGTTTCTAAGATTATCCATAATCCCATAAATGTCTAAAATTGTTATGCTGTTGCCTTCTAGACATTTAACAGCCTTATTAAATAAATTTAATAAGTGACTACAAAAATGCAAATAAATTTCAATCACATCATTCTCAGTTTCATTGAGCATCAATAAATTTTGTAAAACCATTGGACAGTAGTCTAAACCTAAAAAGTAGCTTCTTATAGGTGACCAATTTAATAATAAAGTATCAATACATGGCAAAAGAGAGAGCCATCTTGTTCCCACATGGCGTTTGATTTCGTGAAAGTCTCCATCTACTGATGCTACAAATTTTTTTAGCTCCTCTCTTCTTACAGCAGAATGTGAAAAATGAGCATAAATTTTTAAAATAACATTTTCTATGTCATGTGATAAAAAGCTCATGGCATGTCTGACGCAATTATGCACTATATGTGCGTGACAATTTCCTTTAATCAAACCTGGTACCAAATTATTCATATTGGTGAATAAAGAATGATTAACACCAAAATTTGCATTTGTATTATCTGCACTTAACCCAGATACATTACGAAAAGATAATTTGTATTGCTCTAATGACTTTTGAATTGCTTCAAACATACCATCAGCAGATTCATTACTATTTTCATAAAAATCTATTAATTTGTTTTCAATGCCATTTTTGGCTGTAAAATATTGTATCACTAATGGAAAGAGTTTTATATTTTTCTTGTTAGAAGCATCTGTTTGTAAACAGTAAAACAAATTATCTGTATTAACAGCATCTATTACATTTTGTAAAGAATATGGGCCCAACACTTCCGTAACTAGTGCTTCCATTTTTGTTCTAGCTAGATGAATTGCATTAGCTGTAGGTGAATTGGCATAAATAATTTTATTCAATTTTATAGTACAATCCATGCTATTGTAAGACAAATTATGTTTTACTGTGTGATATGTCAGGGCTAACTCAGATGCAACAACATTTTCTTTATCACTGCATCTAGACGATGTGGAAGCAGAAGAAGAGTCAAGGAATTTCTCAAGTAGTCCAGATGTTCTCCTAGTTTCATATTTTGATTTGTGTTGTTTTGTTTGCAGGTGTTGTTTAACCTGAAAATAATAAGATTAATCCCGTCACCTTACCCATCACCTCCAGTCACCATAAAATAATTATACTTTCAAAGTTATTGGGAAAAAGTGCACATTTATCTTAAATAAAATCTAATCATTTTATAGCATAGTACCTATAGTTTGCATATTTAATGCAAGCATACCAACACACACACACACACACACTGAAAAATAAGTTTTTTTTCTTACTTGTCCTATACCTGCTGAAGCAATTGTAAATGTAATTCCACACAATTTGCATTTTCCATTATATTCGTTTTGTGGATCATTAATTAACCAATCACCATGTTCGATTTCCCACTGACTTTTATACTTCTGCATTCGTTTATTTTTCTGTTTTGTCGTATCTTTTGTTTTTAAACATTTTTTTGGTGTAACATATTCACTATCTATTTGATCCGTTTCACTATTAAAATTACGTTTTATAGGTGTATGTGAAGTATTCATGATGTACTACTATAACATGAATCTGTAAAACTTTAAATCGTATTCTTAATGCACTAAACCGCTTCGCACAAAACGATGCACAAAAAAAACATTATGACAATGACACTGACATTGTTGACATTTGAGGTTAGGTTGCGTTCAGAAATTGTTAAAAACGAGTGGTTAAGTGATGTGGCGCTGTCGAGTGGCGAAATCCATTCAACACCAATCGAAAAATTTCGTTTAACGAAAAAGCACTTTCTCTTCATACGAAATAAAGTATTTTCGTGTACTTTATTGTTCTCATAAAGTATAGAGTACAATTACCAGAAATAACGTACAATACTTTATTATAAAGTACGGGTGGCAACCCTAGCTGTAATGATGCTTTTGAACCCCATTGTGGTGCCGTGTTGTAAGAGAATCCACCACCCAAGTCCGTTCGGTGGGTATCGTAAGAGGCGATTATATGCAACGCCAGAAGTATGTCATGAATACCTATATATGGCATCAATAACTGTTTCGTGTATTCCACACGTAAAATACCGAAATCGGTGATGGGGACAGCGCAAAACATGCGTGAATTATGTGATTGCCTCTGCCAAACGGGGCGATTATGCCAAATCCTCTCTGTAACGAAAGTGGCCCTTGTTCGACAGTGTATTGAATGAGGTTGACGTGTAAAGAATTTGTAGTATTTGTGTAAAAATGCGAAATCATTACGACATCGTAGTGGACTTAAACGGGCTAATAAAAAAAATAAAATTCGTTTTAACAAACTGCCTGAAGCAGATCTGACCGAAACTGCACACATCGAAACATCGAAAGGAGAGTGATCTACGCATTATAGTTGGTCAAAAAAGTATGTGAGTTTTCACCACATTCTAAGTTAACACAAATGTTAAGATGACTTTTTATGGAACTAGTCTAAGACTAAACTCGTCTTATTTTAACACTTTCACTGTCCGGTTTGACCTATATGTAGTGCACGGGACAGCGAAAGGGTTAAGTTTAATTAAACATTAATTAGTCTAAAACTCTCTGCGTAGTTTTCTCCTATTTTTCAAGTATGCTTTTTATGTAACTACGTGCTGTACAGTGCGTGAGGATAAAATGTAATGCAACTTAAGTATAATTTATTTATATGTATGTTTAGTGCTACTAGCAGAGTAATGGTTCTGTATGTAATTTTAAATTTAATATAAATACAAACCAAAGAGTTAACAACTGGAATATCGTCTAAATAGTTACATTACAACCTTCATCCAACTTCATCGTATATATTTCCACCCATAGGGGTTGAAATTCTGTAAGTTAAAGTGGGGCCATCCCTAGAAAATTTAATAAAAACAGAATCATTTAAAGCGGTTCAGCAGTTTCCAAGAAATCGGCGAACATACATAAAAACATTAACTGTGGAAAACAGAAACTTTTATTGAATTAGATTAAAAGTTAATATTTATATGAAAAGCAACAAAAAAGTTAATAGTTAATAAATGAATTTATGAAAAATCAATACGTTTACTTATGTTATACAAGACTAATTATAAGAAAATAGAATAGAAATAAACCAAATTTAAAAATATCATAAGATCTATACTCGATCTAGGAACACTGCGAAAGTAGCCTTTCGTTGAAAAGAATATTGTACAATGATTTCTTATATTTACGCGAAGACTACACATTAAATGAAACTAATTTTTTTTACGGATTTTATCGCGCTTAATTTAACTTTTTAAGTCCCGACGTTTCGGGTTCTTTACAGCACCCATGGTCACGGGGGGGACTGAGGTGTTTGACGTCCCGATGTCATAGTTAGCCCGGCCACCTTTAGTTTTTGAATATTAATTTTTGGTCCTATCTACGCAGAATGAGCTTACAGATTCTTGAAGTCTTGCAGTGGTATGCTGGGGTTTGCTACACAGCTCAATTATCGAGAAAATTCATTCAAAATTATGACGATGAGATACAAGAAAAAGTTTTAAGATAATAACTTTTTTATGTATAATTCTAAACCAATACAGATTTTAAAGTATATAAAATAATCCTCAAAAAACATTTGTTTTACCATTTCTTCAATTTTACAAAAAAAAAAATGCGTGAGTGTCGTGGAACACTCGGTTGGAACAAAGTTCCTTTCGTAGTGTATTCATCATCATCATCATTACAGCCCTTCACAAGTCCACTGCTGAACATAGGCCTCCCCCAAAGAATGCCACAAAGCACGGTCCTGAGCCACCTGCATCCATCGACTTCCTGCATATCTTACCAGGTAGTCACTCCATCTAGTGGGGGGACGCCCTACACTTCGCCTGCCGGTACGAGGCTGCCACTCGAGAACCTTTCCTCCCCATCGGTTGTCGGTTCTTCGAGCTATATGGCCGGCCCATTGCCACTTCAGCTTACTAATCCGTTGGGCTATGTCGGTCACTCTGGTTCTACTGCGGATATCCTCATTTCTGAGTTTATCACGCAGAGAAACTCCGAGCATAGCCCTCTCCATAGCTCGCTGAGCGACCTTGAGCTTCCTCATCCGGCCAGCAGTGAAGGACCACGTCTCAGTTCCGTATGTCATCACTGGCAACACGCACTGGGTGTACAGTCTCGTTTTCAAGGTTTGAGGTAGACCTGACGAGAAGATGTGCCGTAATTTCCCGAACGCTGCCCCACCGAGTTGAATCCGTCGATTGACCTCTCGGTCGAAGTTGGACTTACCTAGTCGGACTATTTGTCCCACGTAAACGTACTCGTCAATAACTTCGAGCTTAGTGTTCCCAACAACTACCGGTATAGGTGTGACATGGACATTAAACATGATCTTTGTTTTGTCCATGTTCATCTTAAGACCTATCCATTGGGAAACACTATTGAGGTCATTGAGCATAGTGCTTAGGTCCTCCAGCGATTCTGCCATAAGGACAATATCGTCGGCAAATCGAAGGTGAGTGATGTACTCGCCATTGATGTTGATACCGTATTCTTTCCAGTCCAGAAGCTTGAAAACGTCTTCCAATGCAGCGGTGAAGAGTTTCGGGGATATGACGTCACCCTGTCTTACACCTCTCTGCAATTGGATAGGTTTCGTACTCTGGTTCTGTACTCGGATAGCCATCGTAGCCCTACTGTACAAGTACTTCAACACTTCGATATACCGACAGTCAACTTGGCACCGCTGAAGGGACTGCAGCACCGCCCAAATTTCGACGGAATCAAAGGCTTTCTCATAGTCCACATACGCCAGACATAGTGGCAAATTGTACTCCTCGGACTTCTGTACAATTTGCCGAAGGGTATGTATGTGGTCTATGGTGCTAAAGCCTTTTCGGAAACCGGCTTGTTCGGGAGGCTGGAAGTCGTCAAGTCTGCGCGCGAGACGATTCGTAATGACTCTCGAAAACAGCACGTAGACGCGGCTCAGAAGGGAAATCGGTCTGTAGTTCTTCAAGAGAGCGTTGTCGCCTTTCTTGAAGAACAAGACCACCGCACTTCTGCTCCACGCCTCCGGTGTAATGCCACCATGGAGGACGGAATTAAAGAGCTTCTGAAGGACTTCAAGTACCGGTTTTCCACCCGCTTTCAGAAGCTCCGCTGTAATTCCATCCTCGCCTGGGGCCTTGTCGTTTTTAAGGTGCTGGAGAGCCATTCTAATCTCGCTCAGACTGACGTCCGGGATATCATCGGAATAAGTGTATTATTATTGATAACTGTATTATATTATTGATTAACAAATACAAACAAATAAATAATAGAAATAAAAAAAAAACTTGCACACTATGACAGAAGGGGTAGTGACGAAAAAATTTTACACTTTTTGTCGCCTAGCTCCAATCCGCCAAACCCGTACCGTCCGATAAGGAAATCGTTCCAAAATTTATGCATTAGGGTAAATATAGCCTAGATCGCTTCATGATCATCCCTTCGGAAAATCTACCCAGACAGACAGACCGAAATTTTTAAAATGGTTATTCATGTCCCGACAGCATGCAAATAACCCCCTGATAGTTTAATAGAAGGCAGTTATTTCGATATTATCGACAGAAACTTCAATTTTATTTATGTTTATAGATGTATAAAATTTTAAAAAATTACTTTAATATAATATATTTACAAGTAACTTTGTGATTGCAAAACCATCACTTCACAAAGCCCTGCTGCGTGCGCAACGTATTCTAATTATTACTTTGTTGTAATTAAACTTGTCATCGCATAGCGAACATAGTTTTTTGGATTACCCTATCAGTTTTTTCAATCATCGGCCGGATATTATGTCCTTTGAAATACGCTTAATGACATATTTTGTGATAGATTAATTCAGGCTCAGGCATTTGCTAGACGGGTTCATAAACGCAGTTTTGTTGTGATTGGCACTTGAAGAGAAGAGCCAATGACAACATATTTGAAGAGAAGAGCCGTTCTTATAAATAGAAGTTGGACATCAAAACTAAAATAGAGTCTTCATCAAAAGAGCTAGACATGCAACCAGACCGATATAAATAAGCTAATAGATTATAGAATTATAATCAGAACAAAGATGCATCTCAAGAAGATTTTATAAAATAAACATACCGAACATTGCGCATAAAAGTAAATTTATCTTTCAACTTTCATCCTACATAGTAGTCTACATTAAGTGGTTTTTCATTCACTTAGTTTTCCATTTATATGTATACACCAAACTTTCGGATAGTGTAAATATGCATTATTAAAAAAAACAATTAATTTACATTTTCGAAACGCTATTTGAAATAAAGGTTTATCATTTCATACGTAAGAAATTATTTAATCTTAATTGTCTAATAGAAACATTTTTATTTATATCCCGTATATATATATATATATATATATATATGTATATACATATAATAGAAACATTTTTATTTATATTATTTATCACTTATCATTCCATTATATATAGTAATGTCTTGGTCTGGTCTAAGAGATTACATAAATTAGACTCAGGGATGACAACGTATTTTCAATCTTAATCTATGAAAGATGTGCTTATAAATTACATCATATCCTTACAATCAGGTGAACTATGTGTTCTTTTATCACCTTCAGATTTAAAATAGGAAGTAACAGGTGTGTATAAAGTAAACAAACATAATAAAAATAAAAATATCTACCT